GGTCCTGAGGAGGCCAAAGACTTTGTTTTCCTGAAGGTGTTTGCAGGTTTTTCAGGTTCTCCCCTTTCGCGTCCCAGAAGGGCCCCAGACGGCCCAAGAGGCCCCAAAAACATTCCCAAGACTGCCCCAGAGGCGCCCCAAACTGGCCCAAAACGGTCCAGGAGGGCCCCCAGACGGGATCAAGACGGCCCGAGAGAAGATCGTTCCAAGACAGCCCCAGAGGCGCCCCAAACGGACCCAAAACGGTCCAAGAGGGCCCCCAGACGGGCCCAAGACGGCCCAAGAGGCCCCAATGATCGTCCCAAGACGGAACCGAGGCGCCCCAAGGGGGCCCAAAACTGCCCAAGATGGCCCCCAGACGGCCCAAGAGGGCCCCAATGCGGCCAAGAGGGACCCCAGGGCCCTCAAGCAAGGCTCTCAACTGAGAGCGGTGACCCAACACGCGCTTACCAGCAAGGCTCCCCAGAGCGAGCGATGACGCAACAAGCTCTTACCACCAAGACTCCCAAGAGCGAGCGGCAACGTGAACGTCTCTGGGCACGAGGACTCTGAAAAGAGAGCGGTGACGCAACAAGCTCTTCCCAGCAAGGCTCCCAACAGAGAGCGGTGACGTAACACGCGCTTACCAGCAAGGCTCCTAAGCACTAGCGGTGACGCAGCAAGCTCTTCCCAACAAGGCTCCCTACAGAGAGCGGTGACGTAACACGTGCTTACCAGCAAGGCTCCCAAGCACGAGCCGTGACGCAACCGACCCAGTAGCAACACAGGGGATCTGCGGAGAGGAGGAATATTGCTACTGGGTCCGCAAGAGGCGATGGAGTAGGAGGAGGAGGAGGAGGAGGAGGAGGAGCACGATGATCATGAGAGGTTACAGTCGGGAACAGCCTTGCGACCCAGTAGCAACACAGGGGGACACAGCGACACAAGCGTACGCAATGTCAACACAGTGAGGCGTGAGGCCTCGAAGTACAAGTGCGATATGATTACCACTGTGCTGCTACTGGGTCCAAAGGAGGCGGAGGCGGAGGAGGAGGAGGAGGAGGAGCATGATGGCCATGAAGGGTTGCACTCGGGAACAGCCTGCCGACCCAGTAGCAACACAGAGAGATCTGGGAGGAGGAGGAGGAGGAGGAGCAGGAGCAGGAGCTGGAGGAGGAGGATGAGGAGGAGGAGGACGCCCAGAGGCGCCCCAGAGACGCCTCCGGGCGACCCCTCGGGGTGACCCGGACACAGGCCAGACCCACCTCCGGCTGACCGGGAGTCAGTCCTGACCCACCTCTGGTTGACCCAGAGGCGTTCCCAAGCCGCCTCCGGGTGACCCATCCGGGTGACCCATAGGCGTTTCGAAGCCGCCTCCGGGTGACCCAGAGGAGGTCCGCCGCCATGTGGACTCATGGGTGGCAGCCCAAATGTGGACACATGGGTGGCAACCCAAATGTGGACCCATGGGTGGCAGCCCAAATGTGGACACATGGGTGGCAAGCCAAATGTGGACACATGGTGGCAGCTGGGTGGAGGAGGAGAGGGAGGAGGAGGAGGAGGAGG